CGGATTTGTCGTCGCGTCCCCTGTTGCTGCCCGCCCCTCCGCAACGACAATGTTGGTCGTCCTGCCTCCACCCTCTCGGCTTGGCCAGCACGATAGCGGTGACGCATCATCGCGGAGAGCGCCCTCGCCGGCCCCGCCCTCGACCCGCAGTGCTGATGAAATGCGACGAAGCCTTTGGTTTTGGTTGGCGGTACGTTACGCGCGCTTTGGCGTCGCGGACCGTCCTGGCCGCGGTGCTGGGCAGCCCTGGCGTCCCTGGCCGCCGTCGGCATGCACGTCACGTGCACGTCGAGTCCACGTCGCGACATGGGAAGTGCGCTTCCCGTGCGCGGGGCAAGCGAGGCCGGTGCGTGCACACTGTGCACACGACAGCAGACTGGTGCACAGTGGGCCAGAAGACCGGTGGAGGCGGTCAAAACTTCAAACGCGTTTCGAACTCCAGAGTCGCCACATGGGACTCGAACCGAACGTGTGACCCCATCAATGGATTGCTGTCCGAACGAGGAATCCATTGATGGGGTCACACGTTCGATTCGAGACCAGTTTAGCGACTCTGGAGCGCAAAACGCGTCTAGAGTTTTGGCCGCCTCCACTGGTCTTCTGGCCCACTGTGTGGTGCCCTCCCTCCCTCCCTCTCGCACTCGCGGGGCGCTCGGTAAGGGTGCGTGAGAGACAGAGCGAGCGAGATCGGCGCTGGACACCCGAAACGCGAGGCCGGTCAAAGTGCCGAGTCGGGCCGGCAAATGGGCCGATAATCGAAGAATCGATACGACGGGGAGTGAGTGGAGTCCCGCCAGTGTCCCGGTAGTGTCCTGCAGGACACGGCCGGCCATCTGCTCGGCACTACACGCAGGATTAGCACCCTCGCCCCTCACACACGCACACACTCACACACGCACACACTCACTCACGCGCACGGCAATAAATAAAGATGAAAAATTAATCGGGGCGTCCTTGTTGCGAGTCGTCTTGTCTGAGTCACCGTCGTCGTCCTCGGCGGGGAGGCGGCCGCCCCTCCTCGCCGCCTACATGCTTGTCGTGCGGTAGGTGTGCTGGCGCGAGGGCGCGCGAGGGGTTGTGTGGAGCCCCTGCCAGCAAGGCAGCCGGCAGCGAGCCCCAGCCGGGCCCTCCAGACAATCCGATGTTGTCGCTGGCCCGGGGCGTGAGCAGCGTGTGTGAGAGGCTTTAGGCCCCGCCCCGCCCCGTGGAAAAGGGCCCCCACGTGTCATCAGTATTCCCCGACGGCACCAAGTGCGACTCGGTGCAGGCAAAGGACCCCTCCAGCGCGGACGATGCGCCGCGACGCCGTGTGCTCGCAGCCAAGCCCAACCACGCCTGCAGTTCGGTGGAGGAAATGGAGGAAACGATTGTAGTTCTTTTGTGAACGCCGCCTTCAGCCTGTAACCCCGTAACCGCACAACACCCTGGCCGCGTCGACCGACACTTGGTTCCTCTGCCGCGTTCGGCGTTCGCCGGCAGAACGTCGTAAAACGAGCGTGGAGAGGCTGTGACCGAAGCCGGGGCTAAAGCTAAGCAGGCTGCTTGTCTGCTTCCGATGGTCGGCGGCGTGTTGCTTTACTGCGCGACATGATTGTGGGAGGAGGGGCGAGGCGGGAACGCGTGTTGTCCGCCCCACAAAGCCGACGCACTAGACGGCGTGGACGGCCGCCGTGGGCCGCACCGACACGCATTCAATCAGTGGGGATTGTGCCCTCCCCTCCCCTCCCCTCCCCTCCATTCCCCTCCCCCCCCTCCCCTCCCCTCCCCGCTCCCCGCGGTGCAGCGCTGCTACGCTGCAGGCGCTGGCCGACGACCTTCCCCACCAATCAGCGTCGTCCATCGGGTCGCGTCGTGGGTGGGAGACCCGGCCGAACGAAAGGCCCGGGGCCATGCGTCGCCTCGGGTGCAAGACGAGGGCCTTGTGCGGGGCGCCCGCCGGGCGTGCCGGCAGCGCAGCGTCCGCGTGGCCGCGGGGCGGTGGCGGTGCAGTGTGCCGGCCGGCCGGAGCAGGGCCAGGGGCCAGGCCGCCGCCGCGACCGGCTACACCGCGACTCGCGACTGCGCGACGCCCCCACCGCGGCGGGCACTGCCCCCCCCCCCCCCTTTCTCCTTTCCCAAGGCACTCTTCCGCTCGGGGCCCGCTAGGGTTGCCACCTGCCGGAGGATTCAACTGGAGCGAGCGCCGGCCGGGCCGCGGGCCGCAGCACGCAGCACGCACCGCCGACGTCACACTGTGCAAGTTTAAGTTCAAGTCGGCCGAGCGCCGCGGAAACCGGCCACGGCGCCGGCAGCCCCACATTCCGACAGGGGGACTGCGCGCCGTGCGTGCCTGTGTGGGTGCGGGCGTGTCTGTGTGCGTGTGTCTGTGTGAGTCGCTCCACGGGCGTTCCCTGTGAGTCAGCCCAGAGGCCTGTGTGAGTCCGTCGTCGGACTTCCCTCCCCGCCTCCGACCCCAGCAGCCGGCAACCCCAACTTGAACACACTGCCCCGTGGACGAGCACCGCGAGGGCGTGCCGTGCCGCCCCGCGTCGGCGCCGCACCGCGTCCCGCTGGTTCTGCGTGCGCCGTCCGCGCCACCGCTAATATTTCTAATGACGCGCCGGCCGCTCCGCAGCAGCCTGATGCCAAGCACCGCTCTCGTCGCTCTGTCTCTCTCGCACTCGCGGGGCGCCCCGTGAGGGCCGTACGGGAGCGAGAGAGACGGCGGGGGAATGGATGGCGCTGATCGCGCTGAATGCCGGTGCCCCGGAATGCCGGAATGCGAGTGATAATGATTAGAGGGAACATCGTTTGGCCACCACACTGCCAGGCCCTCCCCGCCGCGGCCCGCGGTTACCGGTTTTTATCCTCCACTTGTTATAGGTGGATGGATGTGATGTGAAAAGTGGGCCGGTCTGGCCTGGCCGGTCGGCGCTGGGCAAGATCAGGCAAGATGTGCAGCAGAGAGAGTGCTCTCCGCGAGCCTAGAGTCCCCCATCAAAGGCCAATCCATTTCCGTGTAATGCTCTGCTCAAATTGCCGACGGGCCACGGGTTCGATCCCCGGCCGGGCCGTCCGTTTTTGGAAGTTGCCCCGGGGTCATTCTCCGCCGAATCGACGATGGTCTGTTTTTGAGGTCGATGGATTCGGTCCAAACCACTTTTAATCGATGCATTGGGGCCCCAAAGGGACCTCTCTAAGAGGATTTTTTTTTTAAATCATTTTTCCCAGAGTTATGGCCAATACCATTTTGGGAAATTTAGTGAAATTTAGTGAAAACAGTACTTTTCATCTTAGCCTATGAAAGTGTGATGTGAGACCCCTTTGGCTTATATTTCCATTTCAACTAGCTAAGAGGGGTCCTGAAAACCTTCTCCTCTGACTGAAGGTGAAAAATCAAAAAATTTCCATTTTTTACTTGGGAAAATTTATGAAAAAAAGTGAAAAATGAGCATAACTTTTTTACGTGGTTTGAGAATTTTGACGATACTTTGTCCTAAGATTCACTTTAGGTGACCGCTTAAAACTACAAAATATTTCATCTGGCAATACATATCTTCACTGAATCGGGTTAATAAAACTTAATTTTGAGCTAAAATTTTACTCGAAACTTATGACGACAAAGCGCATTGACTCCAAAATCAATTTTCAAAGGTCAAAAAGTTACTTATCATATATCTTGAAGTCAGGGCAGATTAAACACCTCAAGAATCCATCCCATTGATGCTCAAAATATTGATCACTCCTTATTTTAGGTATTTTGCTCTCCATTTAAGTCTAAACCCATTAAGTACATAGTGGTTGGTAGTTTCGGTGGTAATGGTTGTCCGTTGTTTCAAACAGCTGATTCTACAGTGTCTGCAATGTTTGTAAGTGGTCTGTACTAGTAAAACTAAGGCATAGTATTATGCCTGTCCTCAAGCGTAAAATCTTGCAGTGTACTCCTGCGCTTGACTTCAAGCGTAAGAAGAGCTATGTTTGAAGCCAAGCGTAATCAAGCCACATCAGAAATTCTGACCCACTGCTTCAAGCGTAAAGTCAGTACACTCCATTTCAAGCATAGTGAAAACCCATGCCGCATTTTACAAGCACAGGAGAATGCGCACATTCATAATGCAAAATCAGCTCAGTTTAATTTAAGATAATATCTTGGCTATCTTAAACTGAGCTGATAAGATGATAAGACAATTTAAGAGAGCTAAGATATAAAAAATGGAATTTTTTTGATTTTTCACCTTCAGTCAGAGGAGAAGGTTTTCAGGACCCCTCTAAGCTAGTTGAAATGGAAATATAAGCCAAAGGGGTCTCACATCACACTTTCATAGGCTAAGATGAAAAGTACTGTTTTCACTAAATTTCACTAAATTTCCCAAAATGGTATTGGCCATAACTCTGGGAAAAATGATTTAAAAAAAAAATCCTCTTAGAGAGGTCCCTTTGGGGCCCCAATGCATCGATTAAAAGTGGTTTGGACCGAATCCATCGACCTCAAAAACAGACCATCGTCGATTCGGCGGAGAATGACCCCCCGGCGTGCTGTGCGCGCTGCGGTGGTCCGCGGTGTACGTACGTGTCTCACGTTTCTGTTGCCAGAGGGCTGATGCGGCTGCTCTGCTGTCCTAGAAATTTTTCTAAAAAAAGAAAACGTAAAAATAATTAGCTTTTAGTCCTGTTCCCGCGGCTTACGCGCGCCCCCTGCCTTATCTTCCTGACCAGACGTGACCCAGACGTGGCCCGACCTCTCCAGACGCAGCACGCCGCACGCAGCCTGTCCGGAAGAAGACCCCCTCCCCCCTTCTTCGCCTCGCCTCTTAAAATAAGTGAAGTGGTGGAAGAAAGGGGGGGGGCATGATAAAGTCTGCTTTACTTTTTTCCCTTCGTGGTTACTGCTGTGGAAAGGGGCACTGCTGCAATCCCTACACGTGCGACGTTAGAATCTGTTGGGACTTCCCTGTCGATGTCGTAATGCCAAACAAACAGTCGTTTAACGCCTACCTTTTTGGTTGTTTTTTGTGGTGCAGGTGTGGACGTGACGGCGAACCAGGACGACATCTCGAACCACGAGACGTTCCAGCTGGAGTTCGACCAGAGCACCAAGCGCTGGTACATCCGCACTATGCAGGACCGCTACTGGACCCTGGAGAGCGGCGGCGGCATCCAGGCTGCCGGGGACAAGAAGTGAGTCAAGCAGGCCGAGACGGCCTAAAGTTGCAGCCAAACTCTGCCTGCCTGCGTGGGGTAGTCACGGGGTCATTCTTTTCCCACTGATAACTGCTGGTACAGTAGTAACTTTGATGGCGTGCTCAGAGCCACCCGGAGCGTGGCGATACCCCGCGCCTCTCCTCTCGCCGCCGCTACGCCGTGCCGAGTCGCGCGGGGTATCTCCAGGCACCTCCGGGTATTCCTGTTGAGCAGACGGGCTTGTCTCGTCCATTTTCGGAGAGAAATTGCCGGCTAAGAAATTTGACTGTAGTTTAACTAACGTGCTGTTGGTTTGTTCTTGCTCCGCCCAGGTCCTCCAACGCCCTGTTCGACCTGGTGTGGCAGGGAGACGGCTCCGTGGGCTTCCGCGCCAACAACGGCAAGTTCGTGGCCACCAAGCGGTCGGGGCACCTGTACGCCAACGCCGACGCCGTGGAGGAACCTTCCAAGTATTTCTTCTACCTCATCAACAGGTAAGAGACAATACACATGTGCTGACCAAGCTGGAAGTTTGAAATATGTGAGACGTTATGTTTCATTTTGGTTTTCTGTTTGTTGCAGACCTATCTTGGTATTAAAGTGCGAACAAGGCTTTGTTGGCTACAAGAGCCCACAGTCGCCGAAGTTGGAGTGCAACAAAGCCTCCTATGAAACCATTCAAGTTGAACGTAGTGAGAAGGGTGTTGTTTACTTCAAAGGTATGTTTCATTTTAATGCCTTTGTGGCTTGATTCCATTTTATTTTTGTTGTCTTTTATGGACGTTCAATGTTTACCTTTTGTTTTATTCCACAGGTCAGAACGGGAAATACTGGCATGTCGATGGTGAGGGAGTCACTGCTGACTCCGATAATCAAGAAGGCTTTTTCCTGGAACTACGAGAACCAACAAGGATTTGCATCAAGAGTGTTACCGGTGAATACTTGGTGGCAAGCAAGAATGGAATGTTCCGGCTTGGTGACAGCAATTATGAAAACGCTACAAAGTGGGAGTACTAGATCAACCTAAATTATGGTGGCAATGCATTATCATTCCATTTTTGCAATGCCCTATTCAGCTTTGAATTCTTTTGCTTCAAATTTACCTATCCCATAAGTACTTCATTACAATTTAGGATTAACTTTACACAGATTTTTGATGGCCTGAGACACTTATGTCTAGAGTACTTACAAATTGTAAGCTTTTTTTAATGATGTTTTTATATACTATTGTATTACCACTTACCTTTTCTAAAATAGGAAGTGTGTACTCTTGAAACTAGTCAAGATGGAAAAACTTATTTTTTTGTTGTGTTAAACCTGTTGCCAAACGTCTTGTCTCATGTACTGAAAAGGTTTTTTTTTTTTTTTTTTTTTTTTGTTTCTTTTGCATTTGGGTAAAATCTTATTATTTTGTTTTCTGAGAAACCTATTAAATGTTAATTTTTTTAGTTTTAAGCAGTTGATTTTTTGACTGCAAAGTAAATTTGGCTGTCATGTACATTTTCCCCTCTCCGTTCAGTTTGTAATAATATTGAAGTTAAAACGTCTGTTTCTGCCATGTGTGATATGTTTCTCAGAAGTGGGACACTGTTCTTGTTTAATTTACTGAAGACTGACAACATGGTATTCTTAATGTCCATGTTGTATACGTAATTTCAAAGCAATACATTTGAATTTTTTTAAAAGCCAGTAGCATAGATGAGTCTATCTCCAATAATTTTTATTGAAAGATAAAGGTTGTTTCCTTTGTGCCACTGACATAGACAAATTCATCATGGAATGCAAATTAACTGGTAGACTCCTGCTGTGAGATCTCTTTTTACAGGTCTTGCAAAATATTCAAATTTTGTCTTCTTCCTTATGAATTATAAAAATGAGAGAAATGAGCCTGCCACTCAATGTGTCACTTGTGTCCGGGAGAGAATTCAAAATTTAATGTATTGTATGATTTCTATATTTTACATTTTTATACCTCTGCCCTATGTATATCCATTTTTTACAATCAAATGTCTTTCCTTATTTATTCAGGGTAGGATACGAACTGCTTTTAAATAGTCAGCAATTGCTGTTTCCTTCTAATGACCTTTTGCCCCATTCAATTTATGTAAATATGCTTTATCAATCAGTTATTGTTATTTTGTTTTGTTACTTAACGAAAGAAAAAAACAACTTAATATTTTAGAACGATGTCGATTGATGTTTAGGAACAGGTTGAGTAGAGGAAATTTGTCAATGTTAGTTTGCAATATGTCATCAATTATGTGTTAGGCCTAAATATGGTAAGACAATTGCTATGTAGTGTAGTGTCAATGAGATTGAGAAACTTGTGAACACAGCTGGTTTAGAATGCATGCAACATGCAAGTGACCATCAATCTCGCTAGAAAGTAACTGGTCAATTTCGTCCTATGCTACAGTTGTGTGAGCACATAAATCTATGTGATATGTCTGATAACGTCCTAGTATTCCTCTCATGTCTTGGTATCCAAAGCTGCGGGCCAGCTACACCCCGCTTGATTAAATTCTCAAACCTATTTGAGGTTCAAATTGCTTTATCTTTCTTTCCAATATGAGCACTGCCGCACAGCACTTTCTCTTAACTTAAGGTTTGGGCAAGAAAGATGAGTTGGTTCTTGTATTAGGTGTGGGGGAGTCAGATTTGCTGAAACACAAGAGTATTTTTAAGTTAGGACTGTATTTCATATTGCTATGGGCTTTTATTATGTTTTAATATCAGAGACGACTGAATTTGTTTGTTCACAACCCAGTGGAATAGAAAGCTGGGGCATGTTCACCTTGTATACAAATCTGCTTATTACATTCAATTGTTTTTGTTTGGCTTTATTTAATTTTATTTAAGATACATGCTGAATGTGGTGTGCTTTAGTGTCTAGGAAGCCGCGAGGCACTTTGTACATACCAGCCTTTGTATCATACCTAATAAATTGATTTAATACCTTTAATTTGAATGGTGTCTTCACTACCTGGTCCAATTCTACAATTATTACTTGCAATTATTTGAGATTCAAAACAGACTTATTGATAAAGGAGAGGCTGGCCCTATCGTTTGCGGGGGCTAAGGGTAGAGTCCAAATCAGATCCCCTTAAAAATCAGAGGGGATCCCCCTTTATTGTACAAAAGAATTTGTGGCATCAGTAACTCACCATCGACTCTGGCAAAATATAAAAATTTATCTGAGACAGTCCATATTTCTCAAACTCACGCGTCGGCGAAGTCACCCCGCCGTTATGGTCAGTCGTTCTCCTCGGCTTCGCTGATGGAGACGAGCCTGGCGACAGCCACGGTCCGGGGGGGGGGGGGGGGGGGGGGGGGCACGGCCATCCGTCCTACACTAGTTTTAGCGCCTGCGAGGTAGTCCACCGGCCCGAGCCGCAATACACGCGTGTGGAGACGGCGGCCTACCTTGCCCCTGTCGTGGCCACAGGGGCAAGGTAGGCCGCCATCTCCACACCGGTGTGTAGCGAGGCTGGCCGGAGGCCTACCTCGCAGGCGCTAGACGCGCCGAAAGACTGTGTTATGGAACCGGTGCGCTGGAATGGGGTAACGTGGCTGCCCACTCCACACGACGACGAGGAGGCCAGGTCCGAGGGCAGGTCCGAGGGCAGGTCCGAGGGCAGGTCCGAGGGCAAGTCCGAGGGCAGGTCCGAGGGCAGGTCCGAGGGCAGGTCCGAGGGCAGGTCCGAGGGCAGGTCCGAGGGCAGGTCCGAGCCGAGGGCAGGTCCGAGGGCAGGTCCGAGGGCAAGTCCGAGGGCAAGTCCGAGGGCAGGTCCGAGGGCAGGTCCGAGGGCAGGTCCGAGGGCAGGTCCGAGGGCAGGTCCGAGGGCAGGTCCGAGGGCAGGTCCGAGCCCCGGCGGCCCCAGCGAAGGCTGCAGAAGGCGCGGAGGGCTCGCGGCTCGCGCAGACTGACAGCGCTGGCAACGACAGACCAATAGGGCGGCACACTGTAAGGAAGGAGGCCTGCCTCTCAGTTAACCCACCCACTAGGAAAAATGCTGGGCGGAAATATTAAACACAAACATTGAATCGAAATAAAGAATGAGTGGAAACGCCTCTACAGTCTCGGTCAACACAGCTGAGGAGAGGATGCGAGCGATGCGCCGGTTTTGAGCTGCAATTAGGAACCATTCGAAGAATCTAAGGAAATGTTTCCACTTGCAGTCGATAGATGACATTCGAGTGCAGTTTGGGTGCAGCCCCGAAGCCAGCTGCCGGGCCTTCGACGGCCTCCTCGCCCTGGCTGTGTAGGCTGGTCTGGGTGTGGTCGGGGTGGGGGAAAGGGGGGCAGGCGATAAGGCTCTCGTTGTAGTCGCGGCGGCGCAGTGCGGCGCGGCGCGTGGGCCGCCTCCTCGCCGTCTTCGCCTCCGCCATGATCCTCCGCGCCGACGGGGCCGACGGCGTGCTCGCGGCCGCGCCGTGACGCCTATGTCACCGCTGCCATGGCTGTGGCTGTGGGCCCTCACCGCGCACGCCGCGCACGCCGCCAACTACTGCAGCATCTGTCCGGAGCACACCATGTGCATCTACAAGGTGCGGCGGCCGCTGCTCGCGACGTGGGAGGCGGGTTCGAACACCAGCCACTCGATCGGTTTGGGCCGTTTGCTCGCAGAGTTCGGGGGGCCCCGCGTCGCGGTGCCACGGCCTGTTCTCACGCGACTTGACGCCCGACGAGGCGCAGGCCGCGCTGCACACGCACAACGCCGTGCGCAACAAGGTGGCCGCCGGCGAGGAGCGGCGCGGCCGGTTCGGCCAGCCGCAGCCCCCCGCCGCCAACATGCACCGCCTGGTAAGGACCGCGCCAGTGCCGGCGTCGCCCCGGGCAGGCCCGAGCCGAGGGCAGGCCCCTTCCGGCAATGAGGCAATCCTGCAATGTCATTTGAATGGCTGTCCGCACTCCGCAGCACTGGGATGAAGAGCTGGCGGCGTTTGCGCGGCGCTGGGCGTCGCAGTGCGTCTTTGACCAGGACACCTGCCGAACCAGCGGTAAGCATCGAGCCTCCGGGGGAATCGTCGAACATTTCAACACTTTCCCGGTCGACTTTTCCTGCCCCTGGCAGCCGACGGTACCCCGGTCGGCCAGAACATCTACATGCAGGTGCTGCCCCTCGGCCACGCGCAGCACTCCACCGTCAGCACGGCCATGGCGGTGCACAAGTGGCTCGACGAGGTCAACGAGCACGACGGCCACCTCAGCAGCGCGCCCTACACGTGAGTAAAGCCGTTTTGAAACCGACGCCGTTGCCGGGAGTCGAACCGCTGACGTTCTGACGGCGCGGCGCTGCAGGTACCACGTCCCCACGTGGCACTACACCAACCTGGTGTGGGGCCGGTCGACGCGCCTCGGCTGCGGCTTCGCGGACTACATCGCGGCCGGCGGCCTGAACGCGCGCCTCATCGTCTGCAACTACAAGGAGGGCGGCAACGTGGTGGGCAGCCCAACGTACTTGACGGGTAGGCCGGCGACGCAGTGCGGCGGGGTGCCCTCCCACACCCCCGGGACAGCTGCGCCGGCTGACGCCGTGGTCGCGGACGGCGCGGAGTACGCGGCCACGACAACCTCGTGGTGGCAGGTGTTCCCGTGGCTGCCCACTCCACACGACGACGAGGAGGCCAGGCCCGAGGGCAGGTCCGAGGCCAAGCCGTCCTCCAAGCAGCCAGGCAGATCGCACGCACGTGGCCGCCGCGGCGCGGAGGCCACGAACGCTGCGAGCGCCGGCCGCGCCGCGGTCACCAGGGCCCTGCCTTTGCTGGGGCCGCCGGGGCTCGGACCGGCGGACTCCCCGGCTCACGACAGTTTGCATGTGTACCCCGCCCTGTGTCCGTAACGGATAACCCCAGGGAAACAATGACAACAACTACTGCTACTACAAAATGCTGAGAATCGCGTTTTATTTTGGCTTTGTTTTTGAGAATAGAAAACCGAACGAAAATGGATAATGGCACGTAGAAATCAGTCGTAATACATTCGTTGGCGGAAAGATGCCGTCTAGGCGCACAGGCCGGCGTAGGTGGAGTCCTTCTTGGTGCCGGAGGGGCACTTGGAGGCGGGGGTGCCGGCCTCGTACATCTTCTGGCCGATGAAGTTGCCGCCGGGCTTGTAGTTGCAGACCACGATGCGCGCGTTCCAGGAGCGGCCGCTCTGCACGGTGGTGTAGTCGGCGTAGCCGCAGCCCACTTGCCAGGAGTTGGCCCACACCACCTGGGTGTAGTGGCCGACCACGGGGCCGGAGGTGGACCTGCAAGACGGGGACCGGGGCGATCAGTGGCTTGGGCTTGTCTCGTGTGTCGTGGCTGCGGTCGTGGGCAGAGCGCCTTGCAGCTCCCCGACCCGCAACGCACGGCTGTACCCGTGTTGCCTACCACGCAGGCTGTACTCACCTGAAGGCCACGGTGTTGAGGGTGCCGTCGCGGTCGTCGACCTCGTCGTACCAGTCCTGCACGGCCTTGGCCCAGTTGGGGGAGCCCAGGGAGCCGGTGGTGGCCTCCCAGTAGATGTTCTGGCCGGAGTAGGTCTTGTCCACTGCAAGGACAGAGAGATGAGCGCAACGTTCGTCAACAACAACAACAACGCGCTTGGGGGCGCTACTCACGGGTGGTCCTGCAGGTGTCGTGCGCGAAGGTGCACTGGTTGGCCCACCGCTGGGCGATGGTGGCCAGCTCCTCGTTCCAGACCATCTTCCTCATGTTGGAGGCGGAGGGCTGGGGCTTGGGGCCGCGCTTCTCCTGTCCCAGGGCGACCTTGTTCCTGAGGTCGTTGTGGGCCTTGACGGCGGCGGCCTTGTTGGCGGCGGTGAGCGCGGTCCACTTGTAGTTCTTGCAGGCTCTGCCCGCCGCGGTGGTCTTGAATTTGCACATGGTGTGGTCGGAGCACACGCTGCAGTAGTTGGCGGCGGCCAGGGCGGCCAGCCCCAGCACGAGCGCGACGGTGAACGCCTTGGAGGACATGGTGTTGTCGGATGACGGCAGTCACTGACGATCCGCCACCCGAGGGCCGGCCATTTTATCAAGGCGACTAGGCGTTTGCACAGCTGAGGGCGAGGAGGCGCGAAGGCGCGCTTCCCTTGCACGACGTCATGCACAGCGCGCAGCGCGCACGCGTCTTCAAACACGGCGCCGAGAAGCGAGAAGCGGCCCCGCGGTGCAGGCGGTGCAGACTCGGAGGACGGCGCCGCGCCTCGCGGGAAACGCATCTCGGTGCGTGCGCGGGCCGGTCGGTCACCCCGGGGCGTGGACGTTCTGCTCGGGGTCGGCGTCGACCACCGTGAGCACGGCGACGAACCGCACCTGCGCCTTTCACAGCCGTGGCGCGAGGCACGGTTCGTGGCTCGCGATGAAAGGCCCCAAGACTCCCCGTATGGAAAAAATCGTCTGCGAATGCATTGCTTTTTGTCGGCTTAATCGGATCGTTTGCGGACCGTTCTCAGCTAGACGGCAGACAAATCGCGATCAAGACGCAGTCAACTCTAAGACAGGACGCAAACAGGGGCCAGACAGGATTCGGACTTGGGCCCGCAGTGCATGCGCGGGCAAAAGTCAGGCCGAAAGTAGCGTGTTCGCAGACACGGCGCGGCCCATCCGCCGACCGTCCGCAGACCGTCCGCAGACAAATAAGTACCTCAATCGGTCTGCGGAACGTCTGCGGACTGTGGGGTGTCGGAGCTCGGCTCGGCACAGCTACGTCACAGCTCGTCTTCAGGTCGTCTACGGAACGTTTGCGGAAGGTGTGGTGAACGTCTGCGAACCGTCTGCGATTCGTCGGGAATCAAACAACAACACAAACAAAAACAAGAGCGTGAGTCTGATGTCCGCTTCAAATATAGTGTACGCACTACGTACTTGCCAAGTACGCTCTAGTTGCAGCGTACATAGTCAAGTACGCTCCAGTTACAGCGCACAAGTAAACACTTTGATTTGTAGATCGTTCACATTGTTTTGCAAGTCCGGTAACCGAAGTCGGGGCGGCTGCGCGGAACTTGACGCAGCCTCGCGACGCTCCTCTCAGACTTTCCACTCTGGCCAAGTGGGTAGCGTCTCTGAACAGCTGCCCTAAGGCTGCGGGTTCGAGTCGCCCAGGCCGCGACTCACGCTCTTGTTTTTGTTTGTGTTGTTGTTTGATTTGAGTCATGCAGCGCCATGTGTGAAACATTAGCCCAAAATTGCCAACAATTTTACCCCCTCTAGGTCGTCAACCATTCCGAAAATTTCGTAGACCCTGTCACCGGGGCCTGCACCAATGCCGTTGAAGGCTATTGGTCCCGGTGCAAGGGCTTCTTTCGCCGCCAGGGAGTTATGTCCAGCCCATCGGACCTCCTCGCCGGTCACATCGATGAATTTATGTGGCGGGAGGTGTATGACCAAGGCGAGGCGGGCGAAACTTTCGCCAACTTCCTGCAACACATGAGGGGAATGTTTGCATGGTATGGAAATCCACTTTTTAAAGTGCCGCCAATTCGGGGCCCTCCGCCCTCTAAAACTCAATCCCCTTCACTTCAGAACCAGCACTACCAACCACTTCCAGCCACCACTACCAGCACTACCAGCCACCGCAACCACCACGAAACCACCACCAACCTCCGTAAGATAAAATAGATCAAATAAACATTATAAATGCAACAAATGATTTGGTCGACATAACTGCAACAAGGGCCCAGGGGTGCCCCCTAGGCATGGTCGACAGTACTTCAAGGGAGGTTAGGGTCGACATAACTGCAACGGCACCAAGCAATGCATTCGCAGACGATTTTTTCCATACGGGTCCCCGACCGCCCTGGAGGTGCAGCATATGCTGCCGCAGTCGCCGTTCTTGGTGGAGGCGTACTTGCTGTTGGCCTACTTGTCTTGATTACGTTCATTATCACCATTGCCGCGGGTTCGCAGCGCGTCCCCGCCATTGTTTCCAGGACACGAAGGATATGCAAACCGCCTTGCCTTTCGTCTTTCGCCGCGCCATTCATTTCTGGGAAGCCTGCCGCGCGCCGCGCTGTCTTGTCGTGCGCGGGTCGCGGTGTTATCTCCGCCATAAACCGCGTGGTCACGTTTTCAGAAGACGGAAAAACTTGTCTACTGCAAGTAATCTAGTTTCTTGGACGCGCATGCGCAAAAGATTTTTGGTCACTCTTGACACAGCTCTGCGTTCGAATCTTCGTGCCTCCCAAAACAATTCCTCGCCGGTTCGAACAGATGGCATATGTTTTTATAGCGCGAGTGGTTATTTTTGCAGGTGAGACAAACGGCAGGTCTGTCAGTGCAGACTGTTCGCCGAAGTTGCCGCGCTTGACGCAGGGCTGCCAATTATAGTCGGAATGTCTCAGCTGCTGCGCGCTGACAGTGCTGCCGTCAGTGGGCGGGTGGTCAGTGCGGTCAGTCGTAGTACGTGTACTTCTGGACCCAGCCGCCGGGGTGGCGCCTGATGTGCCGCCGTCGCAGCTCGTCCGTGGCCAGCATGAGCAGGCTGAAGACCAGCGCCGGCGTCCAGTACTTGAGCGGCAGCGGCCGCACCCGCATCAGGTCGCTCACGTCCTCCACGTAGATGACGACGCACATGAGCAGGATCTGGAAGGGAGAGGGACTGGGCCGTGACGGCGGCGGCCGGGGCGATGCGCCTGGCGCCTTGTTTGTGCGGTACTATTCCGACTCGCGCGCGTCACTTGGTCCTACTGCAGGTGGCAACGAATGGCTGTGTGTGTGTGTGTGTGTGTGTGTGTGTGTTCGGCCCGGTTTGCACCAGAGTCGGCAGGACGGACAAACGTCGGACGGACAAACGATGTACACCGGTTTCGATCGTTTCCTAGGAAATTCCGCAACGATGCTTGTTTTGATATTCGATTACATGGCAGGTGTCCGAACATGTGCGGACTCGCGCTCGCGTCACGATGACATGCCTGGGTTCAGCGTTCGCCAGGACTAGTGCACCGCGTCGGCCAAGGCCCTTGTCGCGGTGCGCTCATCAATACTCCGGAAAATGAAAGAAGGAAACGCCTACACTGGAAGAGTCGAAGACGACATCAAGAATTCTGTCTTATGTGTACGCGGTTCCGGAATAGGGTTGATATCGATCCTCGCTGTTTCAGGCGTGTGCTGCCGTGTGTGTGCGCGTTACGAGTGTGTGTGTGGGAGTTGCCTTGACCTGCGACACGATGGCCGAGTTGAGCTGCCAGTTGGTGCACCCCCTGGACACGAGCGAGTCCCGGCGGCAGCGGCACATGAGCAGGTCGGCGATCTGCGTGCACACGATGGCCAGGAAGGTGGCCGTCTGCGCCATCTCGTGGAGCACCTGCCGCCTGTCCTCGCTCCACACCTGCAGCATGTTGTTTCAGATGCAGCTGGGATCGCAGGGTCGACGACCCAGACCCCTAGAACAAACCCCTGGGCCCCTCGGACTGAGCATTACCCGGCCGTACGAGTCGGTGATGGCGACGTTGGGGTCGTCCCAGTCGGGCCCGGTGTTGAGCAGCGCGCCGGGGTTGAAGCCGTGGTCGATGAACACGATGTAGTAGGAGACGAGGGCGGCGGCGGCCTGCACGCCCCCCACCTGGAGGTAGGCGGCGGCGAGGAGGCGGCCGCTCACCAGGCGGTGCGTGTAGGGGTCGCGGGGCTCGCGCCGCATCACGTTCTCCTCGGGCTGCTCGTAGGCCAGCGAGATGGAGGGCCACAGATCCGTGACGGCGTCGATGACGAGCACCAGCGCGATGCTCAGCGGCAGCGGGATGGCCAGCACCACCTGCGGGCACGTCACGCTCGAGTCCCAGGACGCCGTCAACGCCGTGCGCAGGACACTAGCTAGCGCGAGCTCGCGGCAGACTGGCGGCAGACTGGCGGCAGACTGGCGGCAGATTTGCGGCAGACTTGCTTGCAGTACGAACGGCACGATCTCGGGCGCGTTGGACGTGAGCACGTAAGCGATGGACTTCTGCAGGTTGTCCGACACGACGCGGCCCTGCTCCACGGCCGCCACGATGGAGGAGAAGTTGTCGTCCAGCAGCACCATGTCGGCGGCGTCCCTCGACACGTCCGTGCCCGTGATGCCCATGGCCACACCCACGTCAGCCTTCTGGAAGGCCCGGCCGGTCAGACACGCCCCGCGCACGCTCCGCGCCTCGCCACTGCACCGCACCGACCTTGAGGGCGGGCGAGTCGTTGACGCCGTCCCCGGTCACCGCCACGATGTGGCCCAGGCTCTGGAAGCTCTCGACGATCAGCAGCTTCTGCGTCGGCGACGTCCTGGCGAACACGATCTGCCGCCAAGCGATGCGGTCTGAGCTGCAGACTGACTCCGAAGAGTTGCTTCGTCGCTCTGTCTCTCTCGCACTCACGCGACCTTCCCTAGGGGTGCGAAAGCGACAGCGACGAAACAACTCTTTGGAATCGCTCTTTTGCTTGTTGGTGCGGCGAAGTGGCTCACGGACTCACCTCCGGGAAGCGGTTGAGCAGCGCCGCCAGCCTCTCCTTGGAGTAGTCCACGATCTCGGGCCCCGTCATGAGCAGGCAGGCCGCCTCCTCGGCGCGGATGTCCGAGACGCCCACCTTGCGGCTGCGGGCCACGTCCGACGTGATCTTCTGGTCCGCCGAGAAGATGCCTACCTGGCCCGGCAGGAGAGGGTCGCGCCTTAGCGCGCCTTAGCGGCCACCGGGACGGTCACCATCGCGGCCCTCGCGATAACCAGCCTCAAGGACGGGCACGGCGACACGCGGGCGGCGGGTTCGACCGCCGCGCACGGCCGGTGTCCCCGACGGCGCGGGCTCACCTCCTTAGCGATGGACTTGGCCGTGGTGGGGTGGTCCCCCGTGATCATGACGACCTTGATCCCGGCGCGCCTGCACTTGGCCACGGCGTCAGGGACGGTCTCCCGCGGCGGGTCCTCCAGGGCCATGAGGCCGACGAACACCAGGTCCTTTCGGGGGACGTTCTTGGCCGTGAACTTGAAGCCCTTTGGGAAGGCCTGCGGGATGGACGAGAGCGTTGACTCGGTGCCCGGCGGCGCGGTGGGTCGTCGTCATCGGCGCGGCGGACCTTGTCGTCGAGGGTGCTCCTGGCGAAGGCCAAGACCCGCTGGCCCTGCTCCGCCATGCTCTCGCACGCCGCGTGCACTTCGGCGGCCAGCTCTGGCGACAGCGGCTGGGGCTCCTCGCTGGCACGGCCGCGGACGCCCACGCGGTCGCACATGTCCAGGAGCTTCTCCGGCGCGCCCTTGACGGCCACCAGGTGCCGGCCGCCCGGGAGCTCGTGCACCGAGAGCTGGCGGCACGGGTTCGAAGTTCGAATCCCCACATGGACCGAGCCTTCTGCCGGGCCGACTATCGGTCCAACCATCTACACCTGGTACTTCTTGGTCGAGTTGAATGGCTCCTCGTACACCTTGGCGTAGCGCAGCCGCGTCTCGTACACGCCGCCGAAGCGCGCCTCGATGAACTTGAGGATGGCCAGCTCGGAGGCGTCGCCCACCGCCTTGCTGCCCGTCGTGCCCGCCAGCTGGGCGCGGTTGCACAGCGCCCCGACCTGCGGCAGGGAGACGCCGTCACGCACCGCCGGAGGCATCGGCAAGCGGCAGGACGCGTCCGGGCTCGGCGACGACCTGCACGAGGGCGGCCAGCCCCACGTCGTTGTCCAGGGCGGGCATGTCGGCGGCCGCGGCGTGCAGCGCGTGGCCCTCCCACCACAGTCGCACCACCGTCATCTTGTTCTGCGTCAGCGTGCCCGTCTTGTCGGAGCAGATGACCGACGTGAAGCCCATGGTGACCACGGCCTCCATGTCCTTGACGAGGCAGTTGCGCAGCGCCATGCGCTTGGCGGCCAGGGACATGCACACGGACACGGTGAGGGGCAGCCCCTCCGGGATGGTGGCCACCAGCATGCCCAGGACGAAGACCGTGCACTCCAACCTGCAACGAGTCCGGCGTGACCTCGTGACACCGGCAAGCCGCCGTGGCTGTGACGGCGAGCTGCCCTCACGGCGCCACACTCACCAGGTGTACCCGATGTACATTGCGGCCACGAAGATGATCACGTTGGCGAACAGCGACACGTAGGCGACGCCCCCCAGGAACGAGTTGATGTCCTTGTCGAGCGCCGTGTCACCCGGGTCGATCTTGGCCGTGAGCTCGGCGATGCGACCCACGGTGGAGTCGGCGGCGGTGCGGATGACCACGCCCTTGGCCAGCCCCTCCACCACAGTGTTGGAGAAGAAGGCCATGTTCTGGGAGCGGTGCGGGTCGTTGTCCGTGGCCACGGTGGTGAGCGGCACCGGGTCGCTCTCGCCCGTCAGAGTGGACACGTCAAGCTTGCAGCCCGTGTTCTCCACGACGCGGAGGTCGGCCGGCACGCAGTCTCCCATGGCGAGGTGCACGACGTCGCCGACGACGAGCGCCTCCGAGGCCACGCTGCGCACGCGGCCGCCGCGCAGCACGCGCGAGGACGGCTTGAGCATCTTCTGGAAGGCGGCGATGATGTCGGCGCTGCGCTTTTCCTGCAGGTAGCCGAACACGCTGGTGATGCCGATGATGACCAGGATGAGCACGCCGAGGAACAGGTTGTCCTTGGGGCTGTCCGGGTTGTTGTGGTGCTCGACCAGGTAGCAGACGATACAGAGCAGCGCGGCGACCCACAGCAGCACGGAGAAGGCCCCGAACAGGTGCTTGCACAGCAGCCGCCACCATGCCTTTGGCGGGATCCTGGGCAGGGCGTTCGGACCATTTTCCTGCAGGCGGCGTCTCGCCTCGCCCTCGTCCAGGCCGACGTCCAGGTCCGTATCGAACCGCTGGCACAGCTCCGCCAGAGGGATGCTGTGGTCGTCGTAGAACTCCTCGTGCTTCAGGTCCTCGAGCGTGTGGTCGTGGTGGCCGCGAGGCCGCGTTGCCTGCCCCTGCTGCGACCCTCCCTGCGAGGTCCCGGCGGGCACAGACACGGCCGGGGCCGCCCCCGGCGTGGCGGCAGGCCCAGGCTTCTGGCTGGAGATCGACACCGCCCCCGGCGTGGACGTGGGACCAGCCTTGGCCGTCGGGGCCGACGCCGCCCCCGAGGCCGCCCCCGCCGCAGCGTCCGACCCTGCTCCCGGTCGTGCATTCGATGCTGGCCTCGGCGTCGGCCTCGGCGCTGGCTTGGGCGGAGGAGAGGACCCGCTGCTGGTAGACATCCCGGGCGTCCCGACGGCGAGGCTAGTGGGGCTGGTGCTGTGTCGCCGCCTTGTGTTGGCATCGCCGGAACCGCCCCTGCAGTCCCCACTGTTGCCAACCGACTGCCCCCGGGGGAAGTTCGCCTCAGAGCTGCAGACGGTTCAGCTCCCATAACAGCGCTACCAGAAAGTTGACGAGCAATCCCTGCACCAGATTGACTCAGCCTGCCTACTAGGCGACTTCTCGATACCAAAACCCGTCGCCTAGTAAGCAAACGAAGGTTGACAACCCTTTCGACACTATTGCAGGGCAAGAATATTAACGGTATTAACATGCCCACCATTTGGCAATATGATTAGTACTTGTAAATTAATTCCCTGCAAACAAAACAACAAATATAAACATTTCTCCATCTCAAGGCGTAGCTGTAGGATGTCGATCGCAACTCTCAGGCAGCGTCATCGGCGATGGCGACGACGGCGCAGGGCGGGCCGCGCTCTACAGGCCCTACACTGTTCAACCGACCAGAACGAGACGAGCGGCCCGTCGCCCCCCGCTACCCTTCCCTTCCTTTCACTTCCCTTCACTTCCCTTCACTTCCCTTCACTGCGACACAGTCGGCTCATTAGACCGGAGGGCTCCCAGCAGGGTTGCCCGCCAGTCGCTTCGTCGGAAACGACACGAATCAATGCCAAATTAGTGGAACGAATTTCACAGCCGCGGTTCCGTGTCGAAACTCCCATCATCGGTGGAAAACTGGCATTAAACTTGCATGGCGCGTGATGGCTAGACCACGGCTATACTATGGCTAGCGGGGCGGCGACCGCGTGACGGCGTGCGAAACGGACCGTGTGGCGGGGCGCACAGTGGGCCATGAGACCGGTGGAGGCGGCCAAAACTCTAGACGCGTTTTGAGCTCCAGAGTCGCTAAAAAGGTCTCGAACCGAACGAGTGACCCCACCAATGGATTCCTCGTTCGGAGAGCAATCCATTGGTGGGGTCACACGTTTGGTTCGAGTCCCATTTAACGACTCTGGAGCTCGAAACGCGTCTAGAGTTTTGGCCGCCTCCACCGGTCCTCTGGCCCACTCTGGGGCGGGGCTGGTCGATAAGGGTCGTCCACATGTTACGTGACGCCTTGCCTCTCTCGCACTCGTTGGCAGTCCACGCGGAGCGACAAGAACACAGCCACGAGATACCGTTACCCGAAGCTCGCACCCCGTAGAGGACCAGAAGACCATAAATGCGGACGAGTCACGACAAGCCAGCATCACCGTGCGCGCCTTACGAGGCCAGGGTAGGCAAGCCCGTTGAACAGGTTGTCTTGCGGGCTAGCCTACCCCGGCCTCGTAAGGCGCTCGGAGCATCCCCCGGCTTGGGTGCCTGTGCCTGGCCTGGCTGCCTGCCGGCCTGGCGTGGTGCCGTGTTCGATTACCTAGTCCGGTTGGAGGAGAGGGCCCCAGAGCTAAAGGCGTGTTCAGAGCCATGTCCGCCCAACAGGTCTGCCGTTGGGTTCATTACGAACATGGCTCTCGTCGCTCTGTCTCTCTCGCTCGCCTGCGGGTGGCACAGGAGTGCGAGGGAGACAGAGCGCCGCCGCAGTGTTGAGACCCGCTGCCGGCCGCTGCCACACCGTTCCACACGCGCAGGGCGGGGTGCACGGGGGTGCCCCACAGTGCCCCAAGGGCCGTTATCGCTTCGCATCTCTCCCTTCGGTGGGCTGATTCGACGCGCCGTCTCTCTCGCTCTCACGGGGTGTTCCGTGGGGGCGCGAGGGAGACAGAGACAGGTCGCTCCCGACGGTGCGCCGCGTGTCGCCGCGTCACAGTGGGCCAGAAGACCGGTGGAGGCGGCCAGAACTCTGGACGCGTTTTGAGCTCCAGAGTCGCTAAACAGGCCTCGAACCGAACGTGTGACCCCACCAATGGATTGCTCTCCGAACGAGGAATCCATTGGTGGGGTCACACGTTCGGTTCGAGTCCCATTTAGCGACTCTGGAGCTCAAAACGCGTCTAGAGTATTGTCCGCCTCCACCGGTCTTCTGGCCCACTGTACGCGTGTCGCCGCGTATCGCCGCGTGTCGCCGCGTGTCGCCGCGTGTCGCCGCGTGTCGACGCGTGTCGCCGCGTGTCGACGCGTGTCGCGCAGATAGTGCGGACAGGGTAACAAGCGCGCCGTTTCCAACTTCGTGCTCTTCGTGTTTTCCAGCGGGACACTCACGCGTCATCGTAAAGCGCCCCCCGTGCGCGCAGTGCATGGCGCACGCAAGCGCCCGCCAACCCCGCCGGCCGGGCCGCACCAAATTGCCCGGAAAATTGGGTCGTTTTCGGAGAGGCCTCTCGGACGCGCTGTCGGTAATGGGCCCGGGAGTGCATTCGGCCGAAGAGTAATTAAGTCGTCCCTTCGGACCGCGGCTCGGGTTGGCTCGTCGAGGAGCCGGGCAGACACACGGTAAAAACGGTTCCTGGTTTTCCCAGGAACTTCCTGGAAATCGCCTATACCTTCACCATTGGCG